ATATAATTTAACCAAGTTTTACTTTTACCATTTAGACGTCTGTCTAAACTCTTGATTTCGTCCAGCAACCTTAGGTGGGAGTGATATAGATAGGCATAAAAATAGATAGGATAATTTATTTAGAAAATTTAATGTAGTAAAGAGTGGGGATGAGAATTGCAATAGTGATAGAAACAAAACAATTAATATAGAAATTCACAATAAAACTGAGAGAGCAAAGAAATAACTTGATGCTGGGACTCGCATTAAATGGCCTAGGATCTGCGTACTCCCTTCCTCTTTGATAGCATCATATATTTCATTCGCTATTTTACTGAAAAATTAATAAATTTTCGCTCATATCGGGTTTATAACATGTATCATCGAAAAAAATTCATTAATGCAATTTATAAGTATCATGTGATCATTCATCATCATAATTTACAAAACCGTTTTGGTCTATCCTTTTACAGAAATTAGACATGTAATATTCGGATAATTTGTGGCTTAGAGTCATAGAAAGACTTTCCTATGATTGATCAAAATGTTAATCAAAAATCAATTTAATCGGTAATTATTTATATGCTTTAGAGTACTTTTTTAAAAAAAAGGTTGTACATAAAAAAAAATTTGCTGTTTAGATTCTTTGAAGCATTAACTAACTACTTGCAAAAATAATCTAAAATAATCTTTTTTTTTAGAAAGTTTATTTAGATGCTATACTTACTATAATGACTAAATTAGAGGGATCTTGTATTATTAAAATTTGCTCTAAGACTTCTAATACTTGGAAAAAAGTTACAAAAACTGTATTTGAAAGAACAAAAGAATATGGAACACTCGCTGAATATATTAAGGAAGGTGATAATATATGTCTTAACTGTTATAATGCAATGCTAACTAATAAATCCTTCACATTTATACAGCATGCTTTAAAATAGCATAAAGAAGGGGAAAAGTACTAACGAAAAAAAGAATTATCTTTTTCTAGGTGTATTGAAATAATCACAAAGATTCTTTATGAAAGAGAGTTTGTTGAAAAACAGCCATCATTATATACATTTGAAGAATTCCGCATGGTAATGGAATCTGAAGATGAACATTTAAAGAGTTTTTTTGATGAGCTATATTTATTAACGAACTTACCATCAAGAAAAGATGAAACATGGACAAAAACATCTAAGCAACTGGTATTTCTATGCTATTTTCTTTGTGGTATCTGAAATAAATATGTTTGTAATATGAAAAGGAATTTAGGAATGTATTTAGATTCTACAGGCGTTCCTGATGCTACAATTGATACTCTAACAACAATAGGATTAACATAGATTTCACGTACTATTACTCGTCAAAAAGATAAGGTGTCTAATACATACCATCAAACTGTAAATAATGTACTTTTGGATAGTACAGAAATGGCAATAGTATTAAACATTGACAATTACCATAGTATCCATTCAAAGAAAATGCCAAATATAACAACAATATCAACAGCTGTGCATCTTGCTATAATCTTACTGAATTCAATCAAGTTTCAACCTGCTATTTCTAATATTAATATTATAACCCAGTATTAGTTGATGCTATACTAATTAAAAATAATATAAAGGCTTTATTTATGACCCATTTTCTTATTCACATAATCAGCGTTGGGGTTTTCGTATTGTAGATAATGAAACACAGCTGGAAGAATTAACAGTTCATAGTTATGATGTTTGACTTAAAGAAAAAAAGGCTTCAAAATCAATGAAAGATGTAGTATTGGTAGATTTACAAAAAAATGGTTTACATTCATCTGAGGATTATATAAAAGCATTAAATACAGTAATTTCTGTACTTGTAATGAAGAATTATCTTAAAAAAGCAATATTATCCCAATTGTAGCAGACTGACCCGGTCAAATATTTCTCAGAATATCAATCTCCTGATATCTTACTTTTCATGAAAATTCTAACATTTTTGCAATAATCTTATCTTTTATTCCTATTATAGGGCCATTACATATTTCTCTTAATAGTCAGGAATTGGTATTTCTTCAATATCAACCTTTTTTTGCAACATTATATCGGTATATTTTTGGAGAAAAAAAGCCACTTGCTCAAAAACCTAAACCATGGAAGATTAATCTAATTTTAGAGTTATCGTGAAGTATATGGCAAGAAATTTCAGCAATTGTCAATATTAAATTTGGTCTTTGTAAGGATCCAGAATATCTTGCACTTAAAGATCTTTTAGATAATATAATACCACTTGTTCTTGATATTTATGCTGTATTTTTCTGCGCTGGAGATTTTAATGCTTATATTGAGTCTTGTTTCTGAGTTTGGACTTTATTTCTTAGATTTAAAAGAAAAAATTCAATAAGGCATTATTAATATTCCTATCAGATATATTCTATTGGACAACAATTAATCATCTGATTTTACAAGTAATGAAATCAGAATTGCCTAAATTTTCTGATTATCCTGTAGAAATTTTTCATAGTCTTTTACGTTGAAATACAGAAAAGCATTTGAAAGCAAAGCAGATTATTAGAGAAGCATGATATATTAATCATCTACATTTAAATAATGAAAAGTTTAAAGAAAATTTTGTTAAAACTTCTGCATAGGCAACATATCAATATACTGCTAAAGAAATATTGATTTTAATGCGAAAATGTTCATGCTTTTTGTTAGATTGTTTTTCTGAAATTTATACACATATTAATTATAACAAAATTCCATTTATTGTTCTATTAATAGGTTCATCATCAATAAAAGGCAAACACAAATAAAAAGAAACTACTTTTCTGATTCCAGTATTAAAACTTACAGAGGTAAAGCATAGTCATCTTCCAATAGGATTTAATTGTTCATATTTACCTAGTCTAGAAAAATTTTGCGATTCTTCTAATTGCTCTTTTAATAATATTGTAATAACCTAATATACAGCACAAATCCTAGCGTGTGAGTATGCATATCATAATGAATGTTTTTCTAAAAATGAATATAAATGTGTACTATCTAGAATTTCTTCAAAATAATATTAATAATCAAGTTCAATTACTTTTGGATCATTTTCAACGAAACAATACAAATAATATTATACCCGAAGAGTCTGATGATATTATTCTTGAAGAAGATGATGATAATATAAAAGAAACAGCAGTAAATATAGCTATTGCTTAGGATTTGGTTATACGAAAATTTTTATCTCAATAATATTTTATATTTTAAACATTAATAATAAAACAAATAATTTACTATTTTTAAAATACAAATAATATTTTATTAAAGATACATTTTTTTAAAGTTTTTTTTTAGTTTTTAGTATTGGTTTTTTTATTTTTTTATAATATCGTAGTTTTAATTAATCGTTAATGCTAATAAAATTCAATTATAGATCATTTCTTTTTATGGGAATTTTGATCAACATTTTTAGCTAATCATAGGGAAGTCTTTCTATGAGGCTTGGAGCAATGATATAAATTGACAAAGGCAAAAAAATTTTTTAATCTTTACGTCAAAACTTCTATAACCTTTGCAGTATAATACAAATGTCAAGTAACAAAGTATACGATTATTTCAAACGAAAGTCTGAGGAATAGAGCCTTATAGGATTTTTAACTGAAAGCGAAGAAGAATCATTCTGGCTGAAAATAGACTTATACTTAAGAGGCCTTAAGAATATTATTAACCATGAGAAAGGAAATAGGAAAGAAAAAGCACAGTTTCTCTTTAACAAGTATTATAGCAAGGAAAGTAAATATATTTTTTGTTAGAAGTATAGTTGAGTTAAGTGGTGTGGTAAGGAATCAACTAGCTTCTTTGCTATTCGAGTCAATTAGCTGAGCCACAAACCAATGTTAGGGCACAGGAAACCAATTAGCTTGCCTGACGTTCGGATGTGATTAGAAATCAGATGTAAATTAAGATGTGTTAGTCAGGAATATTGCTAAATATTCGAATTTTCTATTTCTAGGAACCTCAATCCGATCGCGAACTTGCAAGGAATTGGGAGAATGAGCAAGTGAGTCAAATTCATTTCCATCAGCAGACATTTCTTGGATATGAGTCTATACATGGGACTGTAAATGGGACTATAACTGATGAAATGTTCATTGCCGAATCAAAAAAAGAGTAGGAAAGAGTACAGGTAAGCATTTTTTTGGCTATAAATGAGAATCAGCAGTGCTAACCATATTGTATTTCTTTTAGGATGAGCGTAATGATAAAACTAAAAGACGAAGATAGACAAATTTTTTTTTCGGTGATTCATTCCTCACCTAACATTACTTTAGAGCCACAGGGTCATAAGAATGATTGTCCTGAAGAAGATTTAGAAGAGAATCTTTTACAAGAAAACCCTGAAGCTGTTTTTGATCGTAAATTAATTATTAATAATATATGCATCTGGTCGGCAATTAAAAAATAGCGCAAATCATTAAAGTATGTCAAAGAAATACATAAGCAGGAGTATGTATAATTGTTTTTATTGTCCAGTTATATGGTTATAGCCTTAGACACTATTTTTTTACTGATAAATTTATTTTATAGCTTAATGTGTTACAATATTATAGATACGACCACCCTATAAGAAATCGAAATAAGGAAATGATACGTTTTTGTTAAGGTTTGTATACGTAATTAATGATTTTATATCAAAATTCCGTATGTTTTATAATGATTTATTTTTTTATAATTT